GATCGACAAAGAACCCTGGATTGTACAGTTAGAAAAACATAAATAGAGAAAAAGTGAAAAAGATTTCATGTTTTTTTTTTGAAAAAAGGATATTTTTCAAGCAAAAGGTGATGGAAATCATCAAAGATTTTGTCGTATATGGAAGATTAGACCTCAAGCTATCGTCTCAATTTCGATGTTTCTATTGAAATTTGACTTTTTTTAGACGGCGACTTAATGACAAATGGCCATTTTGTTTTATTCTCTATTGTCTATTTGATCCTTTCTAATTACTTCATTGATATCATAATCAAAAGAAAATGTTATGAATTTAGAAGGTATCTCAATACTAATATATTCATCATTGTCTATAATAAGTTATCATCAGATTAATTTTATCAGATAAATCAACAAAATTTTTATATTCATTTTTTGCAACAAGCTTTTTCAATGTTATTTGAAAGAATTCTACCACAAAGGATACAACGACCGAAAAACCGAATACTATGAAGCACGATTGTCCACCTGAATATTTTATGTGCTCATATTATAATCACATAAATAGTCTGATTTCCGTTGTTTCTATCAGCTGATTTAAAAAGAAAACAATATTTTTATCATTGGAAAGGTAATGGAAGTTCAAATGATGAGCGGTAATTTGTTTCTGATTAAGTTATATGTGAATACAATCTAAAACGTCCTTTAAATAAATGTCCTTCAGGGTAAATGCCATTGTGAAATGATACCTTGTCCGAAAATATCCCTCATCCTTAATTGTTGTTTTTTAAATAGCATGTTACTGGAACGTAAATAACACTATAATCCAAACATATTTCAGCAGATATTTTAATTGTTTATCTAGAGGTTTATTTCGTATAGAAATAAATTCAATAAGAATGAAAGAAAATTTTATTAAAATACGATTTGTTGTTCTTATCTCATATTTTATAAATTATCATAGCAAAAATCCTTTAAATTAATGGGCGAGTGTGGAGTGTTAGTATGTTCCTTATCCATATTCAGATCCACACCCATTTCTCAGGAACATTTTTCTAAAGTACATTTTAACCTGTTACTTTATATGTAGCATGTCAAACTAACGAGGAAACTACCTCAACTGACATCCACTATTTGAACTGATATTGAATCTACAGACAGATTCCAGTGAGAATAGCAAAAGTTTAAAACCATTCATCTCTATTGGCCTTTGGCGCCGAGTTATGGCCGGTTTACTGGGTTTTTGACTCATTTTTAGGTTCTCTCCGAAAGACCAAGTAATGGAGTTTTGATCTAAAATTTTGTCTATAGATAAGTCTAATGATTCTTAGAATATCCTGAAAGTTTCACCCGAAAAGAATGTTCCTTCGTCGAGTTATTGAATTTTCAAGTGAACTCGATCTTCGTGACATGTCTGGAGCGAAGTCTTGACGAAAGAGCATTCTTTCCAGCTGAAACTTCCAGGACATTCTAAAAGTTATTAGACCTCTCTCTATAGGTAAAATTTTAGATCAAAACTCCATTACTCGGTCTTTTGGGGAGTACCCAAAAAATGGGTAAAAAATCTAGTAAACTGAGCAGAACTCGGCGCCAAAGGTCAACGGAGATGAATCTTTTTAGGTTTTTGCTAGTCTTGCTGAGGCCTGCCTATGGGTTCAATATAACTATGAGAATTGAAAAACTGGAAAAAAGATAATACATTTTTGTCAAAAAAAACATTACAATTTGCACATTATTTCTCTATTTTTGAAAAATGATTTTTTTTTTGACAATGAAAGTGAAGAGCCATCCTTGATTCTTAACCATAGTACTTTCGATCAAGCTTTTTTATATGTCATAGAAGATACTTATGATGTATTATCGCTGTCGTCGTACACGAGTTGTAACACAGTGACATTAACTCTATTTTAGAAATTGATAATTATTAAAGAATAGAAAAAAAAGTAAGCCACTTTACATTTGAATTGCATGTGTCTTATCTTGATTCTCTTATATTATTGTCATATGTTTATTATATTTTTTCTTGCTGGAATATATGCTTATAGAGTATCTGTTATTTGCTAATAGCGATTTTTTTAGTTATTTTTATTAAATTAGTAACAACAACAGTGGACATTTATTAACCACAAGAGTGTTTAATTGCAATGGCATTGAACTTGAACAACGAGTTTATTGAAACAATCAGAAAAATAATGAACGATCCTCTTAATATAATAGATCGACTATATTTTCAGTTATTGTAACCAATTATTTTCTTTTTTTGATAAAAGATTTGTCTTTCTATTCTGTTAAACAAAATACTTATTTCTATTTGTCTAAATATTCAAAACAATTTTTTCTCACATAAAATAAATGACTGACTTAGTTGTCACAATTTTCAAAGCTCACTATTTTTTCTTTATTTGCTTTGCTACACGTTCGCAAACTTCAATTCATGTTGTTTTTTATTTAAAGTTTGATCAGTGAATGACAGGCACGAGTTCATTTCATATATAGAAGTCAGATAAATTAAAGTCGACATTGTAAGAAATCACTGGTCTCTATGAATGAAGCTTATGGGATTCAAAAATTTTCAATCCGAACCCAGTCGATTAAATTTTAACGGATTTAGGTTCGAATCTTACTCTTAATCCGCAGTTAATAGTCGCGCTGAACATATGAGATATTTTTTGAGCTTATTTGTTTCGACGACTAACATGTCCTACACATTTTTCAGACAATCGTGAGAGTAATCTCATAAGAATCGAGTTATAAGAGGCTCTTAATTTTAGAATAGCACACGGTGAGACGGCCCCAGACCGTTCGACCAGGTTCGAGTCCTACTTGACGAGCTGTAACTATGAGTGCATGATGGATTAAAAAAAACAAGCACAACAATAGTCTGAAGAATATTTCACATCATTCATTGCTATAGACTATTGACTTCCCAAAGGCCCATATTTGAGTTCACTGAAACTCACTATTTACGATGATTTGTTCCTATCATGAATTGCAACGAAGTTAAAAGAAAAAAAAAACATCGGTTGATGTATTCAGATCTATAGTGAAGCAAATAAAAAGAACAAATTGATGTTGAAAATTGTGTATTAGGCCACTCGTTTGTTTAAAAATTATTTTAAATATTTAAACACATAGAAATAAGTGTTTTTTCTACAGAATGGAAAAAATAAATCTTTTATAAAAAAAAAAACATTGTTTAAATGAGTGAAAATGTAGTCTATCTATTACAGAAATACAAAGAGTCTAATTCTTTATGGGCCCATCCATTTGTTTTGAATGTTGATAAGCACTGTACTGTGCTTACTAATACCAAATCTTTTTCTTCTAAACTTTTTATAAACTTTATTCGATAACCTATTAATAGTTTATAGCATGATATAAACAATGGTGTCTTCTAGCAAAAAATATTCAAGTAGGATAGTAAAAAAATAAAAAATTTACTTCAAATGATACTGACGAACACACAATTTATTACTTTGATTTTGATTATAATGGACTATAATTACTTTGAAAAGTTTAAGACTAAAATTTCTTTTAGCTTTATATGCTTGAAAAAAAAATTGTTTTAAAAATATCAATTGACCATTTTCTTAATCAGTTTGATATGCTATTCCGAATGACATATATATTAATTGAAAATAAATTAATGTTCATCTTTCAAATTTTCGTTTTCTTACATTCTTCGTCGCAGTAGTTAACAACAACGTTAATTTTGCATTCTTTTTCTCGGTTTACTTCCAATTCGATCCCATTTGACGATTTCTCAGTTCAGTTTGATTAATATAGAAGAGAATAACTTGTATAATCAAGAATAATAAGAAAAATACAAAAGTTATCAGCATTGATAACTCACAGACACGTTATATATCAAGAAAAAAAAATTAAGTTGTTTGTTTTTACGGTTTTGTCGCATTGAATTGTTGATTGTATAGACTCAAACTTCTCGGGATAAAAAAGCCAACATATCGAAGGTATCCTAAAAAACGCATGTTTTTTTCGGAATAGAATTTTTTTTTCATAAGAGCTGCCAAAAATCAGTAGAACAGTATATTTTGAAACAAAAAAAAATACCGATTCCAAACAGTTTATAGTATATGTGAAAAAAAGTTTCAACTCGATCGGACGTACTAAATCGAAGAAACAGAGAGCATTTCTGCACTTTTTGTTTCGTGAAAAACAGTAAGTTTTGAGAAAAAGCGAAACAATGTCCAATTTTCGATAATTTGATCTCTTTTAGACCTTTTTTTATGTTTAAAGACAATTTTTAGATCTGAAGATGTACTCAGTCGATAGATGTTACTTATGACTATACAATAATCACAAAAAACTAAAAATTTTGGATCATGACAGGAGAGAGATGCCCTTAGGTCAGGTATTGTATAGGTTTTGCTCAATTAAAGATCACTCGAGAATGAATTCGGTACTGTTTTTCACTTCAGACACAACCTTTACTCTCATTCACTGCTAGATGTGTATGTATGAGTTACATCAATAAGTATAGTGACTGTATTTAAAGTAGAAAAAGTATCCATGACGGAACTGGAAAGGAACTCAAATGAGAAATCATCGAAATAAGAACTGCCCTTTTTTTTGTTCTTACTATAATCGTACAACATCAATTAACTTTTTTTCTTTCTATTGGTTAATTGAAAAATCAAGCTATGGTTTTGTTTGACTAACATAAAAGACATGCTTATCATTTCTCCTTGAGTCATTGTTAATACAAAATAAATATGTTCATCCATCTTAAGATTAAACATGTATGTTAGTCTATCGTATATGATTCGGGAATAATAAGCTGCTTTGGACGTGACCATTTGTTTTTGTTGATCTCTTTTGTTCTAATCATTTCTATATATATAAGATGGTACATATTGAATGTTGTCTATAATTCATTTGTCTAACGTATACATACAATCAAACTTGCTCATTTTATTTCATCAAATTGAATCAGTGTAGAGTAAGTCTTATTAAAATAGAAAAAAGAAAATATTTTATTAATTTTGTTTAAATTAAATAAAATTATGAATCAATTTATTAAATTTAATTTTGTTTTTATTATTCTTATTATATCTATCTATGGAAAAAATATTGATAATTCTTATAAAACATTAAATGATGATCCAAATGATGATCCAATTGATATGTCAATTTCAACTACAACAACTAAACAAAATAAAATATCATTAGCATCAATGAGTTGTATTGAATCTCGTCGATGTGGTTGTTATAAAGGTTATTGTTGGGCATATATTGATGAATATCAAATGCCAACAACTGGTTGGTGGTGTTTTACACAACAAGAAGGTATACGTGGTAAACAAAAACAATGGGCAAAATGTACAAATAGTAGTCAATGTTCATGGACTATGACTTGTGGTGATTGTTATACTTATGTTGGAAAAAGAACTGGTATCAAAACAGATAAAATTCTTTGTTAAAATTTTTTGTTAAAAATGTATTATATTAATTAAAATTAATAAAACTTCAAAATTTTTCGTAATTATTAATAATTTCATTATAAGTATTTGTTTTTGTTTTTGACAAACAAATTGACTGTTTAAAATAAGAATTAATATCACATTATCAAAACAATGATTATTTCCATTTGGTCTATCAAGATTTTTCTAATCATGAACATTTAATCGATAGGCTTGTTCAATTGAGTTTTTAGAATTGTTTAGTATATAGTGTCATAAAAGTCTATTAGAAACGTAAATTTTTCATTGACTAAAATATGTGTCAACAAATTCGGAAATATTTATATAAAATCTATGTTGAAAGCTCGTTCTAACTTTATTTTCAAAAATATTCTATCATACATTGTTTTTCTGTAGAAAGTACGTCTTTAAAAAAAACATTACAATGTGGTCTGTAAAAGAAAATGAATATCACAGAATGCACCGATCACTTAATATTCTTACGATTTCTTTCGGACGGTATTTTTCTTTTCTCGACCAACTATGTGGAAAATATTATGGAATTCTTCGAGATAACATTGAGAAAATTCATCGTCGGATCTCTTGTCATTTTCAGATTGATGTTAGTACTGTTGTGCTCGATATTCGATTCTGTCATTTCGAGGCATTGACTCAGGCATATTTATATAACGAGTATCTCAGGTTATTCGTAGCGATCATTTCAACTAATTTTATTAAGAGTAGCGTCATTCGAATCTCGAAAAATTTTATCAGATCATCATTATTTTCACATTAAATTTTGACGTTGTCTCTTATATTATTGTTTTTCAAATTTCCTTTATCACAAACTAATCAACTTTGTATTTAGTTTTATTCATTAAAGAACTCATAACAATTTAATCATATCGAAAACGATTTTCAAAACAAAAACCTTTTTTGATATATTGTCAGTACTGTTGATCACAATTAATAATCAAATAAATTTTTGATTGTTTTACTTCATTTGTTCTAAACTTGAAAGTATATTGCATAACATTAAAAAATGAATTTGTACTAAATCATTTGTTAGTTTATACGGAATATGTAAGTTTCACATTTCAGTCGCGAAGAGATTGCGCTAACAAGCTTTTATCATTAGAAGAAAAGAAGTTATGTATTGAAAATGTATCTGGCAATCCAAAGAAGTTTTTTTTTCAGTATAATGATGTTCAATGAATCAAATAAATTGGCAGAATAGGAAATTCTAGATGCAAATATTTTCGAAATGATAAAATTGAAGAGCACGCCTATTAACTGTAAGAAATTGTTAGAATTTTGATTTATTCGTTTATTTAACATATTTTTTAAAATAAATTATTTAAACTTCTCTGACAATACACCATAAATTTATAACAGTCAAAATTTATGAATTTTACACTTTCGCCTTTCATCGAGTCTCACTGATAAGTTTTGTTAGTATAAGTTATTGGAGATTTGTTTTTAAATCAAGTACTTTTTCAATTATGATTTTTCTATTGTAAATTTAATCTCGAATAATTCTTAAATTCTAGATTAATGTAAAGTTGAAAGATTAGTTTTTGTGCTTTAAGATGGTATCTTCTATTATCATCCTTTTACATCTGCTTTTTAATTATGATTTTTATTCATTTCTCTGCTTTAGTTATTTAATTTATTAAAAGTTACATGAACAAAATCACTTCTATTATGAATATAATGAAGACTAATAATCGATCATAAAACTACGATTTATCATAATGATTACCAGACAAAAGATTTGCAACTATTTTTCAAAAGATGTTATCATTAATTAAAAGCTTGAAAAAAAAACAAACAGAACAATATCATCTGTTGATAGATTTTCTTTTCTTGTAATACTCATGGCATCAGAGAATCAAAAAAAAAAATATTGATATTTTTCAAATTCATTGATAAAAAGCGATATTTTAATTAAATAAATGCAGTGAATTTCGTTTTTAATCAAAATCATGCAATGAAATTAATGAAAATGTCTATTTTAATTGATGAATTTCAAAATACCTCAATTTTTTGTCCGTTTCATCATTTTAATGTCATTTTTTTTTGATTTCTTAACTTCCTGGATGCTATATTCTTCAATGCTTTTAAGAAAAAAAAGGAGAACTGACTATGACAAGACATTTTTATATTACACGATGTTTGTCTTTTTGATTATTGATTAATTCATTATACATCTATCTTTTCATATTCAACGATGAGTATAAAATTTATAGTTTCTGTTTCTTCTATTGTTTTTTTTCATGCTAGAATAAAATAAAATTTCCATACAACATATGTTTTGAAACAAAAAAAATCTATCTATCCAAAATAGTGTATAGTACATGTAGAGAAAGTTCAGATGTACTAGGTCGAAGAAACGGGGAGCATTTCTGCACTTTTTTTTTCAAGAAAAAAGTTGATTTGAGAAAAGTACGAAACAATGTCCAATTTTCGTTAATTTGATTTCTTCTAGAATTTTTCAATGTTTAAAAGACAACTTTTAGATTTCAAAATGTACTCAGTAGATTGATACTACTT